GTTCCTTTACCCAAGAGGGTGAAAATTGGACCCAAAACAGTGGACTGTGTATTTATTGGATATGTTGTGAACAGTAAGGCCTGTTGGTTTTTGGTTCACAAATATGATAATCCTGAAATTCTATGTGAATAACGATAATTGAGTCAGATAACGCTGAGTTCTTTGAACACATTTATCCGTATAAAACTAAATGCGAGTCGACAAGTGAAAGACCTAAACGACCACGAAAAGAATCAACGAAAAATACACTACCTAATGAGGATCCTAGGCGTAGTAATCACCAGCGGAAATCCACTTCTTTCGGACCAGATTTTGTGGCATTCTTGCTTGAAAATGAGCCTCCAACATTTAAAGCAGCTATGTCTCCATCTGAGTCAATATATTGAAAAGAAGCAGTCAATAGTGAGATCGAATCAATTTTAAGTAATCATACTTGGGAATTAGCTGATCTTCCTCCAGGAAATAAATCTTTAGTATCAAAGTGGATCTTTAAAAGGAAAATGAAAGCCGATGGGACTATTGACAAATATAAGGCTAGACTTGTAGTAAAAGGATACAGACAAAATGAAGGTCTGGACTACTTTGATACATACTCTCCAGTAATAAGGATAACATCAATGAGGATGTTAATAGCACTAGCGGCAGTGCATGATCTTAAAATCCACCAAATGGATGTAAAGACAACCTTCTTAAATGGAGAGTTGGAGGAAGAAATTTACATGAAACAACCTGATGGGTTTGTGGTTCCTGGTAAAGAAGAGAAAGTGTGCAGACTTGTGAAGTCACTTTATGGGCTCAAGCAAGCACCCAAACAATGGCATGCTAAATTTGACTAAATAATGTTGGCAAATGGATTCAAGATTAACGAATGTGATAACTGTGTTTACATTAAAAACGTTCTGAATCATGAAGTCATTGTTTGTCTGTATGTTGATGACATGTTAATAATGAGTAAAGATATTGACGATATAAATGCTACTAAGCGCATGCTGTCCAGTAAGTTTGATATGAAAGGACTTTAGGAGTTGCTGATTTGATCTTAGGGATCAGGATTCTCAAAACTCCTCAGGGACTAGCATTATCTCAATCTCATTATATTGAAAGAGTATTGGATAAGTTCAAGTGCTTGAATTTCAATGTTGTCAAAACTCCAATTGATTTAAGCTTTACATTTCAAAAGAATGTAGGTGAAAGTGACTCTCAATTGGAATATGCCAGAGTATTGGGAAGTTTGATGTATATTATGAATTGTACGCGACCAGATATATCATGTGCTATTAGCAAACTGAGTCGGTTCACTAGTAATCCGAATCAAACTCACAGATGGCAATGAAACGTGTGTTGGGGTATCTGAAACATACACAACACTATGCTTTACATTATAATAAATATCTTATTGTGATTGAAGGATATATTGATGCAAATTGGATCACCGAGTCAAATAAAGTAAAATCCACAAGTGGTTATGTGTTTACACTTGGTGGAGGAGCAGTATCTTGGAAATCGTCCAAACAGACATGTATCGCTCACTCCACAATGGAATCTGAATTTATTGCTTTAGATAAGGCTGGTGAAGATGATGAATGGCTCCGGAATTTCTTAGAGGATATTCCATTCTGGCCCAAACTTGTGGGACCCATTTGCATATATTGCGATAGTCAAGTAGCAATAGGTAGGGCAGGGAGCATCATGTACAATGGGAAGTCTCGTTATATACGACGGAGACATAACACCGTAAGACAACTGCTCTCTAGTGGAATTATCACTATTGACTATGTGAAGTCAAGCAATAATGTGTCAGATCCACTAACGAAAGGCCTAGTGAGAGAGGCAGTTGAAAGATCATCTAAGGGAATGGGTTTACGGCTTAGGACAAGTCAGCATGATGGTAACTCTATCTACCAGACTGGAGATCCCAAGAGCTAGATTCAAAGAGAAAAATAAAGTTGTGACTGACGGTTCAACATTGTCAATCAACTCAATCCATTCTCATGATGAAGACAATGTTCAGGAACAAGGTTAAGACTTTAAGGCTTGTTAATGAGTTAATAAAGCTTAAAGGTTTTTAATTATTTGCTAAGTTTGGCATATTTGACCAAATAGTGTATCTATGAGATGACACCGTTAGAAATCACCTAATGTGAGTGTGAAGTGTAAGCCGCTTCAAAGAGGATTTTATGTCAAAAGCCTATTTTCTATACACTCATGAAACCAGGTGGTGTTCATGGCTGAAACGAACACAACTGTAAGAACCATAAACGGTAAAGGGTTAATTGTGTGACATATGGTTGTCTAGGTATACACCAAAGCTCGACGGTTCAAAGATATCGCATCTACCAATTGACCGAGTATATCCGACATATGTTCACTACGGAAAGTCCAAGAGGAAACCTACTTATCCAGATGCAATTGATCCTTTGCTTGTAAAGTACACACTCGTCCGTGCATTCCTTATGTTATAGCCATTCCCCATTTATGTGGGGGATTGTTGGGTATGTAGCAAGAGTTAATGGGGAAAATGGAGGGAAGATGAAAAGAGAGGAACTTGGAAAGTTGGAAACTTGAAAAGTTCTCTTATGCTTTAGTGATGAAAAGGCATTTCTCCCTCATCGGTGGTGGAAAGAAAAAATAGAAGAGTTTAAATATAGAAACACTCATATTAATTGTTAAAAGGGTTAGAAAGAGGGACCCCCCTCGCGCCGTCGTCGTCGTCGCTCGCTCGACTCGGCTTCGGCTTTGGAAAATGATCGAGAGGTTAGTTTTTGGACAAAGTTTGTTTTAATTATTTAGTTATTTATTTATTTAATTAATATAATTAAATTAAATGGCCAAAATATTTCAATTAATTAGTTAATTAACCGAAATGTTTCGATTATTCAGCTAATTGACCGACCCGACTCGGATCCGCGCGCGACCCATTTTATTTAAATTCTTTTCCATTTTATTTAAATTTTCCGCCGTTGGAAGTGACTGTTCTGAAAGGTTGCAACTTTCATAAACAACCATGACCGTTTGAAAGGTTGCAAACTTTCATGAATCGTCATGTGGATTCTGAAAGGGTTGCTACCTTTCGGAACCAATTCCTCTTGCCTATAAATACATTGATTCTTCATATTATTTCCTTACGAATTTTTTTGATTTCTTCTTCTTCTGCACAAAGTTTCTTCGTGTACTTTACTGCTATTGAGTGGTTCGCTGACACAAGAGTTTTGGGTATCAATACACTGGTGATTGAGATCATTCTATCATGGGAGGACATATTCCAAATCAAACCTCGGATACTAGAGGGGAATAATTTCCTTAAGGGGACATTGTGCATTCAGTGGGCTTGATCTTTTCCATTCTGTCTTTTTCTAGATTCTGGTATGTTTTACAAATTTTAGTTGTTCTGAATTAATTTCTATTCTTCAATGTAAAGTCACTGTTTCTACATAGCCATTAGGATGTATTTGTAATCGAAGGAGTTATCGAATGGTCCCATGAAGTCAATCTCCACACATGAAAGATTTCAACTTTAAGAATCTATGAGGCTGCTCATGTCTTCTTGAGATACTTTCTTGCATTTCACATTGCACTTACAATAAGCATGTGCACCTCGATACAATGTAGACCAATAGTATCCGCATTACAACACTTTTGATGCAGTACGGATCGAGCAGTGGGTGATGCATGCGCTCACCCTATCTGAAAAGATAGGAATCATCCAAATATAATTTTTCTTACATTAAAGAGGAACCTTCTCTTCTTTTCATAGTTGTTCAACCCTTTGACATCCATCAACGAAGTATGAAATTCGCATAATCAACCTATCATGACATTGAAATTTTGAGATATCATCATTACTAATTCATTGGGACAAGTATTACATATGCCCATCTCCTTCCAATGCAACACTTCTTGATAGAAGTTGGACGTCTCCAGAGAGGATAAAGAAATTGGACGTAGATATATAATTACATGAAATTCGAAAGATATTCTTTATTTTTGTTTGAAGGTTTTCACTTACAATAAGTAATAACAACTTTACTCCACTTTTCAAATAAGTTTCTTGATTCTTTTTATTTCATATTTTAATGACTTAATAGATTATTTATGTATTTCATCTTTGTATTTTTTTAATTAGTTTCTGAAGATCATTAAAATAAATATGAGATTATTTTTTTATGATAATAATAATAATAAATTAAAAAATCAATTGTGATAATTAGTTATACATATTTCCTATAATATAATTCCTTAAAACATTATCTAGTTATGTGAATCTCATATCATGAACTCAAGTTGGTTGTGCTTTTGTTTTTGGTTTAATGAGCATTTCTATAGTTGTTAAATTGTTCTGGCTTTTGTTAAACACGATTAAACACGACCCAGTATCCATTGGCTTCGCACGGGGTTAATTAGGTAGTTGCAAAGCGTATTGAGGTTCAAATAATATATTGAGCTCGAGATATTAGAACGTGCAAAATCAATAGATGCAGAAATTACTACTTCATAAATATACCATCATTAATTGTGTAATAAACACATGTATAAATTGTTTTCGATTAAAAATTAAGAGATTACATCAATATGGTTATAAATTGGTTATATTTACCAACTATCATATACTAGCTTAACTTCCTAATTAGTCAGTCAGTCTTCACTTCAGTAGTTGAGGTCTGTTGAAGAATTGCACACCCAAGATGAAAAAAGGGATGAGTAGTAAGCTTCATTAAATATGTAAGTTTCTGAAATTCATCCATAGTAGAGGCTCGTCTCCTGTTGCGTTATTATTATTAGTCTCAGGGAGGCTTGTAATAATACTGCTTGATTCTCTCAAGTTGGAGTTATGAGGATAATAGAAACTAGTTGTTGTAAATAAGTGCTCCAAAGAAACCAATGTTTTGAGTCCTGCATCACCAAAAGGCCGCTGGATCAACTCATGAATCATCTTCTTATTAACATAGTTTGTGATGAATGAATGATTAAGTAGCATCTCCGCATTCCATCTCCAATTATGATCTCTGTCCAAACACTTACTCAAAAAGTCCTTTGCATCATTAGATATATTATCTGGTATCTCTAGTTTTTCATGTGCAATCTTCAATTTTAATTCATTCTTATTTTTACATTCTGACCATACCCGCTTTCTCGTGAGCATTTCTACAAGTATGCATCCAAATGCCCAAATATCAACAGCTTTATCTTGAATCCCACACACTACAGATTCCGGTGCTGCATATAGTAGAGTCCCTCTGCGGCGACGACGCTTCTTCAATGATATGTCCCAGCATGTGTTTGTTTCAGATCTCAACGATAGCCCAAAATCAGCCAATTTCACATTTGCAAGGCCATGTTGTCCGCCAGGAAAAACAAGTATATTAGCTGGTTTCAGATCGCAATGGATAAATCCTTTACTATGAACATGACAAATCCCGACTAAGATTTGAAAAGCATAGTACGCAGCCTCTGATTCTCCGAGCACCGTCTTCGACTTATGAATTAAGTCATGCAAAGTTCCACCAGCAGCATACTCCAGCAAAAGGTTATAAGTTTTTTTTACCGTTTTCGATGCTTACATCTTCTCTGAAGCACTTAATTACGTAGTCCGACCCTCTCAGTGCATGCAATATTTGTCCTTCTACTCGGAGGGAAGACGAGCGATTATCTTCGGCTGATTTGACAGCAGCAAATAATGTATAGTAATCGGTTAATGGCGTGGCAAGAGACACCGTACCATAAGAACCCCTGCCCAACAACTTAAGCTTTTTCCAAGACATACTTAATTTATTGATGAATGAGTTTTTCTTAGCTAGGTTTACTTTTGATGCTTTAATGGCTTCTCAGATTTATAATGCTAATTTAATTTCCTAATGTAATTCTATTTGGGATTAAATTTATTTAGGCCTTTCTCTTTCCCTTTCCAATTATACTTGGGAATGTGAATTCTGCTATACAGAGGAAAAGAAGTTCGTTATTCCTTGAAGGATATTTATGGTTTTACCCTTTGGTTATACGCCGAATCTTGTGAACAAGACAGGGGTAATTCCGTCTTTGGGCTCAGATTGTTGGCGGGAAGTTTTAGAAATAACTTTTGTGGGAAATTTCTTATTTTCCTTTCCTCTTTTATTTTTATAAATTAATCCATTTCTTCTATTTAAATTAATTTAATTTCCAAAATGCGAAACTATTGATCTAGGCTCCTATAAAAAATTGTATCATTTGAACTAAAAAATATTCAACTACTCATTTGTCTCCTTCTTCTTATAGTTGTGATTTGTTGCACTTGGACCGAGAGTCTTTCAAAAATAGTTTATCTATCTTTATGAGGTAATGGTAAGGTCTGTCATGTTCTACCCTTCCAGATCTCACTTGTGAAATTTCAGTGACTATATTGTTGTTTCACTATTTAAACAATGTTTAGTGTTTTGATCACATTTCATGTTTTTAGGAAAGTTACAATCAGATACCAAATATTATTTGCAAAAATTATAATCAAACACAATTCCAACCTCAAATGTTTCAAATAAAGTGAAAAATATTAGTAATTATATGTACTATATGAGATTTAAGGCATGGCATTATGTGACAATCTATTTTGAGTTAATATTACTCTTTTAGAATAGATTAGTTCTGAAAACGTTTGTTGCACGTTTATCCCAAAATATTTCATCTAAATCTTATATTGCAAATGACATATTTTTATCTCTTTCAAATTTGTTGGTATTTTTTAAAAAAAAAATCTATAATTTTTATGGTAGAAAGTACATATATCTTCCTAATAATTTAAAAGAATACATCATTAATTATAAAATTGATTAAAAATGCATAAAGTTTAAATAATTAACTATTGTACAAATACAATATTCAAATGAGGATACTAAAATTCTACATGTTAGGCTAATGTATACAAAGCAACAAACCATTGTAAATTATCACAATAATATCAACAAAATAATAAAAAGTTGTACAATAACAACAAACAAGAAACATAAATATTAAATAGAACAAATAAAAAGAGACAATATAAGAGAGCATGGAGATTTTCTCATTTTTGTTCAACTGTTTTAAGTGTGTATAATATTGTGTCAAATGTCACTATTTATAGGATAGGATTAAGGAACATAAAGAATTGTCATGTATATAACATTAATCCATTTGAGATCATGGATGCGGATGAGAGGCGAAAGTAAAAATCTTAATGAATTTAATCAGTGGGAGTTACACATATTTACAAAATGGAGGGTTAGTGGTAATAAAATTTATGTAAAAAAGAAAAGAATATAATATATGTTTGTATATTTTTTTTTCTTTCTTTTTGTGAAGGGCAAACATAACCATTATATTTTCAATTGAAAATGAACAAAACAAAAAAAACATGAATTTAATCCAACATGATAATAATACAAAGAATACACACACTGGGTGGGGTAGGGTCAGTGAAGAGAAACCTAGCGAATGGTGCTCCTGAACGACGGCCATCCACCGTCGGTGGCTGGTATTCATTTTTCAATAACAGATTTCCCAGCACTAAACGAATCTGCTAGTATTGATCCCAAAAATCCTAAGATGTTTGTAGAGAAGTCTTTTGCCAATTCTCTCAATCAGACAGAACAACAAACAAATGAAGCACTGCGCAAAAAAGTTTCAGTAGTTGGAGGAATACCGCAGGTAAAATGGACAGAAGAAGAGGTAGAAAGGATGAATCAAATTGAAGACCTACAATTTGCAGTGATCGGAAAGTTTACATATGAATGGTCTGACTTGGAGGAACTAAGGAGAATTATTCCTCAACAATGTGAAATTAGGGGAGGATGTCAGATTGGATTACTCCGCAGCAAACACATTTTTATACGTCTAACTCAACAAGAAGATTTTATTAATATGGTATCAAAGGGGGCCTTCTACATCACAAGCAGAGACGGATATTCATATCTTATGCGTACACTAATCTATGACTCTAGGTTTAAGGTTAATGAGGAAACATCAATGGCAATGGCGTGGATCTCGTTTCCTAACCTACTACCCACTTTTTTTGTCAAAGAATGTTTATTTTCTTTAGCATCAGCAGTGGGTAAGCCGATCCAACTAGATCAAGCAACCATTAATAAGACGAGACCAAGTTGTGCGCGTGTGAAGGTGATGGTGGATTTAAAAGGTGATTGTCCAAAGGCAGTGGAGATGCAGATAGAAAATCAAGTCACTGGAGAAATAAGGACTAATATGGTTACTATAAATTATGATTACGTTCCGCAATACTGTATACAATGCAAGATGCAGGGTCATAACAAAGAGGAATGTAGAAGCACAAATATATCAAAACAAAAAATAGAAAACAATGTTCAGCAGCCGAAAGAAGTTGCTCAACAGAAAATTGGTCCAGTTCACACATTTCAAAAAGGGAAAGCTAAAGTTCTCTCAAGCGGCAAAGTAGTTGGGGATCCTGGACACTGGAATGTGGTGCGAGATAACAGAAAAAGTAAAAGCAATAAGGAGAAACATGATAATCACATGACAGTCACTACAGAGAACTCTTTTGATGCTCTCACGCAAGAGGAGATCACACAGGCAGATTTCAACATAGGCAGCCATTCCAATAGTAAAACAAAGCAAGACAAGGGGGTGGAAAAAGAGCAACCCATTTCAGCAAAAGAATGGGTGACCAGGTCCTTTGGACAGGTTTTACAAGGAGAAGCCTCGACATCTACAATTCCTCTGCAGCATGACAATATGGATCAAAATCAGCAACACAATACACATGAAAATGAGCATAGCAATGAAAATCATGAATCAGTTAATATGGAAGATAAACAGCAAACCTGTCGAGATAGTTGGGCAGTTGTAGTGTATAACAAACACAACAGTCAAATTCCTCAAATATGCAATGAAAAGAGAAGGGAATATAGAGGGAATATTGATAATAAGTTGGCAATAGTAGTCGATCCTACAGATTTTCAAATTGAAGAAGCACAAATCCTTGCTATAATGGAATCTCCAAATAAAGTTCTCCATGATATTATTACTCATAATGTGGAAGAGAATGCATTGTTGGAGATAGAAGGCCTAAGAGTGACTACTAAAGTAAATAAGGATGATGATGATGATGTTCTGGCTCACATAGACAAGGAGGCAGATTTATCTCCTAAAATCTTGAAGGCTGCAAGGAAAGAGAAGAAACAAGGGAATGAAGATAGTGCTCAACCCATCAGAATACAACCAAAGAGATATAAAGCGTATAATAGATGATGAAATCATTTATTTGGAATATAAGGTCAGTGAAGTCTCAACAAACGTTTCAAAGGGTTCAGATGTTACACAATGTTTACAAGTTCTCATTTATTGCTCTTCTAAAGCCTTTTCAAGACAGTAGACACATCAACAAGTATAGAAGGAGGTTGAGAATGCCTTTTGCTACTTCCAATTGTAATGGAAAAATATGGATCTTTACAAATCATGATTTTGACATTATAGTTGTTAGTAACACAGATCAACAATTGACTCTTAATTTAAAGCACCAGACTCAACAACACAACTTTTATGTCACTATTGTGTATGCCAAGTGTAGTGCTGTTGAAAGAGTATCGTTGTGGGAAGATATATATCACTTGGCAGATGACATAAATAGCTCTTGGCTTATTGGAGGAGATTTTAATGTTGTATTGAATGCTGAAGAAAAGATAGGGGGTCTGCCGGTAGAAGATATTGATCATGAGGATTTTGATTGTTGTATTGAAACTTGTGAACTATCTAAAGTTCAATACAAAGGGAGTCCATTTACATGGTGGAATGGTAGAGCCGATAGTGATTGTATATTTGAGAGGTTGGACAGAATACTCATCAATCAAGAGATGAGTAATTGGTTCAATCACATTGCGGTGGAACATTTACCAAGGACTGGATCTGACCATGCCCCTATGTTTATTACTTGTGAAGAAACTAACCCTATAAAGAAGAAACCATTCAGGTTCCTAAAATTCTGGACAAAGCACAAAGATTTTAAGGAGGTCGTGAGACAAAATTGGGTCACTAATACTATTAATCCTTTTATAGCTTTTAAGGAGAACTTTAAAAGGGTTAAAACTGCTCTAACTAGATGGAGCAAGGATACATATGGAGACATTTTCAAACAATTAATCATCAGGGAGGATATAATGAGAATTAAAGAGAAATTATTTGAAGATGTGCCAAATGAAATTAATAGAGCAGTTTTGCAGAAGGCTGAAGCTGAATTTAAAAGATATCTTCACTTTGAAGAAATCTATTGGCAACAAAAAGCTGGTTATGAATGGTTTGATAATGGAGATAGAAATACCAGATTCTTTCATAGTATAGTAAAGGGCAGAAGAAAAAGGCTACACTTGCAGAGAATTCAGAACAGACATGGGGTATGGTTGGAAGAAGAAGAGGTCATAGCTGTTGAATCCATTGACTTTTATCAAAAGCAATTCACACAAGAGAGGGATGCGACTGATTTTCCTTTACTAAGGCATATTCCCACTTTGATCAATGCGGAGGAAAACTCAGTTTTATGCAAAATACCAGAATTAGAAGAGGTAAAGAATGTGGTATTCAAGCTTAATGGAGACAGTGCTAGTGGTCCTGATGGTTTGACAGGGAGATTTTACCAAAGCTGCTGGGACATTATTGGCATTGATATTCTAGCATTGGTACATGATTTCTTTCAAGGTAATTCTTTACCTAAGTCAATTACTCATACCAACCTAATTCTGTTACCAAAGAAAGATAATGTACAGTCTTTCTCAGATTTGAGGCCAATCAG